GCCACCATGACAATCTCATGCACTGAAAACTCAGCTCCCATGCCTCCCCCAGGATAAAGGAGTCCCGGGAAAGCAATGTTAGCCAGATCTGCCCTCAACCCCGGGCACGTTTGTGTGTCAACAGGGGCACTTCTCCAACCGCACACCTAGTGAAATTTCAGGCACCCGTGCAGCAGTGAGACACTCGGGTTATTTAGCCCCTCTCAGAGCAGAGTCAGCTGTGGAGTTGCAGAGAGCAGGTCAGGAAGCCAGGGTTCCAGCCCTCAACTTACTAGCTCAGAAAACTGGAGCTGGTTCCTGGCCTCTCTGAAGCCCCAGCTTCCTCATCTGTGAAATGGGATGCTCTTCGTTACCTTGCAGACGCGCTCGGAGGTTTATATAGATGTCTCTGGAAGTCCTTAGGCTGCAACCTCGGCCCTCTACTCTCCTTGGGTGGCCTTTCCCTTACTGGGTCCCCTGCACCCAGCACAGGGCCATGCACACAGCAGACAGTAATGACATCCAGAGAATGAATGATGCACATGAAGCAACAGCTGGACACATAGGCCAGCGGTCAGCATTAAGCTCAGCCTCTATGTCCGGACGCCATGTGACTCTGAGCAAGTCGCCTTCTTTTTCTGAGTCTCAGTTTCCTCATCTACAAAGTGCAGATTGTTCCTCGAGATCCAGTGCTCTGTCCCACAAATCACTGGAGTAAGGAGTTGTGATTTACGGATTATCTTAAGGCACTTGTTCTTCCTGAAAAGACATGAGTTTGGGGAAAAATACACGAAGAGCTATTGTAGAGACGAATGGGGTTCTGCTCACTCTCCCGTCTCAGCAGAGAGAGAGGTGCATGGATGGGACGAGACTGTGGGCAGTGGTGGCATCTTTGCACACTGAGTTATGTAGAGGTGCCCAGCCCGGAGGATCGTGCAGAGAGGCTGCACTGTGCGTGACAGCCCCGACTTGCCGCGCATCGAACTGGGCGGTCTTGGCGAACTGGGTGGTCTTGGAGGTGAGAACAGCTGCTATTTTCCAGTAAGTCTCAGGGGGCCCTGGGTCCCACCCCAGACCCTCCCAGAAGGGGCGGGCTGGCTGGGTTTTCGTAGCCATGAGCATCGCTCTCCCCCCACGCCCCGGCCCCATCATCTGTTTACTCACTGACGTCCTCAACAAACAGCCACTTTGCCAGGTAGCGAGGCCAGGTAGCGAGGCAGAGAGCGTGCTCCTAGCCTGCAAGCCGCCGGTGGGGGGCAGGCACAGATGTTTCCATCCAGGGCTTGAAAGCTCCATGCCTCCGCGTGGAGGGGGTGCTGGTGGCCTCGGGACGTCATGGCTGCAGACTGTGGTCCAGCGGGGCAGCTGGCTCAGGTCGGCCAGTCTTCTGATTGTTTTTAAAAGAGAAGCCACAAATTCAGTTTTTTTCTGCGAAAAATTTTCTGATTTAAAAAAGTCGGCAACTTTTTCATTTTTTGGCGGCTGTTGCAAACGTGTATGTAGTAGAAGGCATTGGGGGTGGTTCCATGGAGCTCCTACCAGGCCGGGGCGCAGGAAGGCAGAGTGGCTTCAGGGGCGTGAGACCCACACAGTCGCCCTACGAGACCCTGAGCTTAGAGACCAGGCCCCGCAGGGTGAATGCGCCACTGTGCCACAGCCGCGGTGGAAGTTGACCAGCACTCCCTTTGCGCTGGGCTCTGCAAATTATGTCGTGGGTCCTGACTGCAGGCACGGGCTAGACCTGCCTGGTGGGGGAAGGACGGAAGGGAGGTCCGGAAATGCTGCAAAGCAGGGGCCAGTTGCACGGTTAGGTGGGAGGGAGGGGACGAGCAGGGGAAACAGAAGGCGAGCCGGCGAGCCAGGGACTGCGCCTGTGTGGGGGTGGGTGCGGCTGCGGCGCGTGTGTGGGCGGCCCACGCGGGGCCGTGTCCACACTCACGGACTAGACGGGCAGATTGAAGCCAGACCCCGGCAGACACGGGGCCTCCGTGCCTACTGCACCAGGAGGGGCTGGCGCTCCCTTCCCGGGAATGGGCGGAGGGCGCGGCTGTGCGGGAGTCGAGGGCGACCCCGGCCCTCCTGGGGCACACCCAGACACAGCAGGAGTGACCTCCCTCTGACCAGCACAGCGACAGGCACGCCCGGCCCACAGAAGCAGATAAGAGGTGGCCAGCAGCTCTGGGCAGGATATAAACAGCCGGGCCCTGCGGCCTCTCCCCACCCCCACTCCCAGCCCAGACACACCCAAGGGGACCGGGAAGGGTAGGGCAGGAGTCCATTCTCCATTCCGAGGCCCCTGGGCTGGTGAGAGCCGGGGGACAGAGAGGGGAAGGAGGGGGCAGAGAGGGGCTGAGCGAGGCCAAGCTGGGACCTGTGCAGGCCTCTGCCGTGTCCCGGGGGTGGACAGGGATGCAGGGCAGAGAGACCACTCAGTGAGAAGCCTGGCTGTCCCCAGGCGGCCCTCTTCTCATCTCCTCCTCTGCGCCCAGCCTCCAGGGCATCCTCACTGAGCCTGGGCCTCCTCCCCAACCTGGGCCCCCACCCCACCGGGCCCCCACCCCACCTGGGTCCCCACGCCCCCCCTGGCAGGCGACCTTGGGCCAACACTGGCCCCAGCAGCGAAATGGGGACACCCAGTCTCCTCGGAGGGCTGTGGGGCGGATCGAATGAGATAATGGGATGAGGAAAGCGCCTCATAAACTGAAAATGGCAGGACAAAGGTCAGCGAGCAGTGCGGGCAGCTGCCTCCCAGCCCTTCGGCGGTGGAGGATTAAGGGGCTTGGCCTCCTCCCCTGGCCTCCTCCCCCAACCTCCAGGCAACTCGCCTCTCCTGGTAACTCACAGCAAGGATCTCCTGCTCCTCAGAGCTGAAGAAAGTGGGGGTCACAGGAGGCGTGGCAAGTATGTCTGCGGTTCCAAAGGCTCCTCCCTTACCCCTTGGCTCGAGGACTTCAGGCAACACTGGGTCACCTGGCTGAAGGGTGCAAGGACCCCCAGTGTGGTGGAGCCACTAGCACATTCATATGTGTTTAGCACATATTACTTCTCAAGATATGAGGCTAAGTCGTTGCCAAAGGTCCTTCCACCATTAAGGGCCAGGTCAGCATGCAGCCAGCTGGGTCTGAGGCTAGCCCTATGCCAGCTCAGTCTGAGGCTAGTCCTATGCCAGCTCAGTCTGAGGCTAGCCCTATGCCTGCTCAGTCTGAGGCTAGCCCTATGCCAGCTCAGTCTGAGGCTAGCCCTATGCCAGCTCAGTCTGAGGCTAGCCCTATGCCAGCTCACACTTCAGAATGTGAAAGATGTCTTCTTCCAGAATGGCTCCAGAGGACTCTTGGTTGGTTCTCTCGAGACCCCACTGTTCTCTGCAACCAACTTCTCCACCCTCCTTCCCACCATTGCTTATTTCTCCAGAGCAAGCCCCACACGTTTATACACACACACACACACACACACACACACACACACACTCTCTCTCTCTCTTCTGCTTTTCTAAGGTCCCTTCAGCAAATAACCTGGCATTTCTAAGACAAATTTCAAATTTACAAAATGGGATTTTAATTTGTCCTATAGAATTTGAAGCCTTAAACTTAAATAAATTTCTACCTGGAAGGAATTCTGTAAGAACACCCACCAATAAAATGTCCTCTCAAAACCTAAACACAATGATGGGGGGGGGGAGCATTGCCTCACACCTGTGATCCCAGCACTCTGGGAGGCCAAGGTGAGAGGATCGCTTGAGCTCAGGAGTTGGAGACCAGCCTAAACAAAAGCAAGACCCCTATCTCTACTAAAAACAGAAAATATTAGCCAGGCACGGTGGTGAGCACTTGTAGTCCCAGCTACTCGGGAGGCTGAGGCAGGAGGATTGCCTGAGCCCAGGAGTTGGAGGTTGCTGTGAGCTATCAAAATGCTACTACACTCTGCCTAAGCAACAGAGTGAGACTCTGTCTCAATAACAAAAATAGAAAATAAAACCCAGACACGTTATCACTGTGGAAATTGAATAACATAGTTCTGGAATCTACAGAGAATTAAGTTAGAAGAGCCCCAAATGGAGAAAAGCTCACAGGAAAGGCTGAAGGACAGAAACAACATGCAGGCACTGAGCCTTATTTTCTGCATCTGTAAAATGGGAAGACAAGGCCGGGCGCGGTGGCTCACGCCTGTAATCCTAGCTCTTGGGAGGCCGAGGCGGGCGGATTGCTCAAGGTCAGGAGTTCAAAACCAGCCTGAGCAAGATCGAGACCCCGTCTCTACTATAAATAGAAAGAAATTAATTGGCCAACTGATATATATATATAAAAATTAGCCGGGCATGGTGGTGCATGCCTGTAGTCCCAGCTACAGGGGAGGCTGAGGCAGGAGGATCGCTTGAGCCCAGGAGTTTGAGGTTGCTGTGAGCTAGGCTGACACCACGGCATTCACTCTAGCCTGGACAACAAAGCGAGACTCTGTCTCAAAAAAATAAATAAAATAAATAAATAAAATTCCATAAGGCAGGAGGCACAACTCTAGACCTCTTGGAGAACATCAGGTCCAAACCCCAGCCCTACAGCAGGAAGCTGCCCCAAAATAAAACCCAGACACGTTATCACTGTGGAAATCGAATAACATAGTCCAGTCCGGAGAGAAGGTGCCGGGGGACCCCGCCCAGGCCTCTCTGTCTGTCCTCTCTGTCGCGGTGCAAGCCTCAGGCCGCCCCTGGCCCCCCCTCTCTGTCCAAAGAGGACAGAGTAGGCCAAGGTCACCGGAGCACGGTGTCACGGCAGGACAACCCCTTGCTTCAGCTTCCCGAGCTCACATCCTCCCTGCGTGAAGTCTTGAACAATCTGGCCTCGCCTGCTTCCAGTCTGTGGGCCCAGCCCTCCTGCTCTAGGAAACCCACACCCACCCTCAGGCCTGCCTCTACCCTGCCCTAAGCTCAGCAGACACTCCTGCTCCTCCCTACCCCTCCTCCTCCCTCCTCCTTCGCTCCTCCAATCCTTGACCATATCCAAGCCAGAGCTCCAAATTTCAGCACACAGGGAGCTAAGACAAAGGTTAGAAAAAGCCCCGAAGGCACTTTATTGGAGGTGTCGCCTCCATTCACAGCAGAAAGGAGCCAGGAGCCCCCGCCTGAGGGCCCTGGCGCCGCCCCACCCCTCGCCAGCCCCCATGGGGACCTGGAGCAACAGTCAGTCTGGCCGTGGTGGGAGAGGAGGGGTGGGGGGCATGCTTTAGAAAAAATAGATCTCTATGTACATATCTGACATATTTATAGCACATAAATTAGGGGGCACTCTGACCGCCGCCCGTGGAGCCCGAGTGCTGAACAGGGAGGTGGAAACCAGTCCGGAGAGAAGGTGCCGGGGGACCCCGCCCGGGCCTCTCTGTCTGTCCTCTCTGTCGCGGTGCAAGCCTCGGGCCGCCCCTGGCCCCCCCCGGCTCAGTCCGGCCATCAGCAGGAGGAAGGTGTCAGGTGTCCTATGCGGCTGGTGTCAGGGGTCGAGTTCGAGGAGGCACCAGGTCACATGAGACGCACGGGCAGCAGCCCCGTCGCTCCAAGCCCCGGGCTTGTATTCCAAGAGGAGGGCGAGGACACAGGCTCCGAATCCCAGCACGAGGGCCGATGCCACGCGCGAGCTTTAGCTTCTCAGCACGGCGAGGAGCGGGTCCCGGCACGGGGTCCTTCTGGCCTGCACCCTCCCAGGAGGGCTGCGGGCCTGGAGTGGTCCGTGGGTGTGGTCCAGGGTCCGGTTCCGGCCTCAGTTCCGAGTCTGGACGACCTCGTCCTCCTTCCAGCCGCTGGAGTTTTTGCCAAACTTGTAGACGAGCCGCCGGCCGTCCACCCGTTCCAGGATCTCCCGTTTGTAGTAGTACCTGGGTGGGCAGGAGAGGGGTGGTCGGAAGTGCCCAGGCACGAGACAAGCCCTGGACCGCCAGCACCTGCCTCCCATCTGGTCGAGTCACCCCCACGTGACCTGGCCCCGCTGGTTCCCGCCCGGCTCGCGGGAGCCGGAGCCCGGCTTCCTGAGCTCTGCTCCCATCTGCAAGGAGGAGCCGTCCACTCCTCTGCCACTCGGGCCTGCAACTGCATCCGGGGAGGCTGGCTCTGCCCTGTGTCCTTGGCCCTTATGGCTGTGTCTTGGGCTTATGAAACGACGTGAATTTAGGGCTGCACGGGACCTTAAGATGCCCATGATAGGAGGAAACTGAGGCCCAAGGACAAGCAATTTAATTGCTCCAATGGTGAGAGGGCCAGGCCTTGGAGTGGGCACGGCCCAGGCTCTCCTCACCCCACTGGGGCGCCTTCCTGAGGACAAAGAGCCTTGCCGGTGACACCAAGCAGTGCCGGTGACACCAAGCAGTGCTGCTGACGGCCAAAGTACCCTGCGTGTGCTCTGCGCCAGGTCACACCGTCTCCGTGTGAGCATGTAGGCGGGCGCTGCCATTACCCTCACTCTACGGGGCTCAAACACCACGTGAACTCGGTGCGGCAGGTGCCCATGCCCATGCTTGTCAGCAGCATCCTGGCCGCCAGCTCACCTCATGGCCCGGCTCAGCTTCTCGTAGGTCATGTTGTTGTTCTTCTTCTTCTGGCCCCACAGCTGGGCCACGGCCTCGGAGCGCAGGAACTTGAAGACGCCCTCGTGCCGGTTCTCCCACTTCATGAGGCCCTGGTTGAGCTCCGGGTAGATGAGGATGTCCCGGATGAACTCCCACAGGTGGGTGCCTCGGGGGGCTGCAGGGCCAGATGCCATCCGTTAGCGGCACAGGCGGCCCCTCGCACCCAAGACCAGAGGGTCCCGCCCGTCCCGGCACACTGCTGATGGTGGCCACGCAACAGGCCAAACCCTCCGCGTGGGCTTCGTAGAGGCCGTGCCCTCCTCGCTTCCCCACTAGCCGGGCGCTCCGGGGAGACCCTGCTGTGCAGCCCAGGTGTCTCACGGGTGCAAAGGCCGAGCCGGTGTCTGGCTGGGACCCAACAGCGACAGAGACATTGGGGGGCTCCTGGTTCATTGGGGGCCACAGCGAAAGCAAACGCCCCACCGGTGGTAAGAGCTTGAGAGTGCAGGAACCAGAGAGCCGGCCCCAGTCTGGGGGATGAGGGGACAGAGGCCTACAAGAATAACCCCCTTAGGACAAGAAGGAAACCAGGCCTGTGTGTGAGAGGGAGAGGGAGAGGAGGGAGAAGGTGGAGATCTCCTAGTGGTTCCCAGTGGCTGCAGCACACAGGCCTGAGGTCAAGGGGACAGAATGACCCATGGCCACGCGGCCCTCCAAACCCTCAGCAGCCTGGCAGCCCGGCTGTCTAGGCACTGTCCTCTTTGCCTGGAGTCTCAGCCCCCTGTGACTCTTTTTTTTTTTTTTTTTGAGACAGAGTCTCGCTCTGTTGCCCAGGCTAGAGTGAGTGCCATGGCGTCAGCCTAGCTCACAGCAACCTCAAACTCCTGGCTCAAGCAATCCTGCTGCCTCAGCCTCCCAAGTAGCTGGGACTACAGGCATGTGCCACCATGCCCGGCTGATTTTTTCTATATATATTAGTTGGCCAATTAATTTCTTTCTATTTATAGTAGAGACGGGTCTTGCTCAGGCTGGTTTCGAACTCCTGACCTCGAGCAATCCGCCCGCCTCGGCCTCCCAGAGTGCTAGGATTACAGGCGTGAGCCACCGCGCCCGGCCCCCTGTGACTCTTGGGGCCGCCCGAGCACCCGCCAGCTGCCCCCTCACACCACCAAGGGAGTCCCAGCAGGCAGGACAGGGGCCAGCTGCAGACGACCGGAGCGAGCGGTCGGGGAAACATAAACTCTGGCGCCCATGGGCCTCATCCCTCCAGGGGCCTCAGTTTCCCCTCCTCTGCAGGACCACACAGCTGGGCTCTGTAATCTGGTGCCGACAAACGCCACAGATGCCCCCCCTGCCCCCGTGCCCAGGCGTCACGAAGGGCGGGTGGCCGTGGACAGCAGCGGAGGCGCAGGTGCAGGCGCCGTGCCAGTGCTCACCGTGCTTGCTCTTCTTGCCCTCCAGACGCTCCCAGTACTCCTTGCTCAGCTTTCGGGGCCGGCCCCGCTTCCGCTTCCCGTGCTTAGGGTCCCCCTTCTTGTAGTTAGGGAAGCCGTCTGTGGGGACAGAGGGGCGGGCGGGGGGGTGTCAAGAGAGGAAGCGCAGAGGTTGGGGAGCAGCCCCTCTGCAGGGGGGGAGCCTGCAGGAGAGCAGGGGTGGGGGAGGGGCGGGCCCGGGCCCTCTTCCTCCTGCTCCTCCCTCACCTCTGGGGAAGAGCTTGCTGTCTGCAAGATCCAGGTCTACGTCGCTTCCACCGGAGTCTGAGGAGTGGGAGCTCTGCGGGGTGCCAGTCCCTGGGGGCAGGGTCAGAGTGAGCGCCCCGGCCAGCCCCGGCCTCTGCTGGACAGGGCTGCAGGCCTCGCGGCCCGGCCGGCTCCCGCCAGAGGGCACGGGTGTGAGTGCTGGGACCCGGGAGCTCGGGGGCAGGGCAGTGGCCCAGGCAGGGCCCTCACCTGTGGTAGAGATGTCGGAGCTGCCGGGGGAGGGGGCCCCGGCGCCGTAGCTGCCGGGGTGGCACGGGCTGGCCTGCTGCTGGCCGTCCTCCAGCAGCTCCTGGGCGAAGGGGCTGCCCTGGTCTGCGGAGAGGAGGCCACAGCTCAGAGGGGCTCGGGGGACCGGGCAAGGATGGGCAAGGCTGCCCAGAGGGCTGCTGGCATTTTCTAGCTGAGGGAGGAAGAAGTCCCGGGAGCAGGGGCTCAGCTCTGGCACTCTGGGGAGGCGCAGGGCCGGAGAAGGGGGGAACACGCTCTCACCGAAGGGGTTTTCGAGGGCCTCCTGGAAGGCTATGCCGTCCTTCTCCAGCAGCTCGATGATCCAGCTGAGCTCGTCGGAGGGGCTGGAAGCTGGCAAGCAAGGACGAGGGTCTCAGTGCCGCCGCCCTCGGCCCCATCCCGAGCTCCAGGACTCAGGAAACGGAGCCGAGCGCCCGCCTCTAGCCCAGGGGCCCGGGGCGGCCGTGGCCTGACTCACTGAGGTCGCGCAGCTGGGCGTGGAGCTGGTCGCCCAGGGGCCCGAAGACCAGCCGCAGCTCCTCGAGGGCGCAGCCGCACAGCGTGGCGCCGTCCATGTTGCAGCGGGAGAAGTCGATGGCGCTGGCGTCGTACTTGTGCTTCTCCACCTGGTAGCTGATCCAGTCCAGGACCTGCGCCTTCGACCAGAACTGGGGCTCCTCCCCGGACCAGCTGGCCTTCTCTGGGAGGGGCAAGGGGGCAGCGCCGCGCAGGCTCAGCGGGCGGCCGGCGGCCCGGTCTCCCACCAGCCCCCAGAGCCCTCCCTGGGATGGCGGGAGGCGGCATGGCGCGCCCTCGCCCTGGAACGTGGCGCCCGCCGCGCCCGGCACCGCCAGCACCTTGCCGCCCGTGCGTCCTCAGCCCAGCCCTGGAATCCGCCTGGAGACCCCTCCCTGCCCGTCCCCCCCTTCGTCTGACACGGTCTTGGATGATGACTCTCTGGCTCCCGCTCCCCAAGTCGGGGACCCACCTGTGCCCTCCAGCGACACCTGGGGACTGCCGAGGGTCAGCTCAGCGTCCTCAGCCCCGAAGGCGGCGGCAGGGGGCGCAGAGGTCAGGGCGGGGTCCTCCGCGCTGTACATGGCGCTGAAGTAGTTGCTGAACACGTTGCTGATCTGGCAGGCTGCAGCCATGGGCACCTGGGGAGGGGGGCACGGGGCTGCTGAGCGGCCGGGCCGGGCTCGGGCAGGAGCGGCCCCCGGGGGCGAGAAGGTGGACGGCTCTGCGGGCACCTTCTCTTCTAGAAGGGCTTCAGGGTCTCAGAGCGAGGTGGGGCCACAAGACCCTCCTGCTGGGGTCCCTTCTTCAGACCGCCGGGACCCCGAGCCAGACTAGCAGTCGTCGTGGCCACGCTTTCCCTCCCAGAGACAGTCCCTCTGCGCTCGGCCCTCCTCGGGACACCCACGGCCCCACACTCCCGCCCGGAGATTCTGCAGGCTCAGGACTGCACGTCCACTGGACCCCGCCTCAGTGTCCCCAAAGGCCTAGACTACTGCATGGCAGGTGCGGGTCCTACCAGAGAGCGGGTACAGACGTGGCAAGCAGGCTCCAAAGCTGCAGGCAGGAGAGAAATCCCGGCGGTGCGCGGCTGGCCAGGTAGCGCTCAGGTGTGCGCCCGCCGCGCTCCCCCACCCCGCCCTAAATAGAGTGTGCGGGAGCTCCTCCCCAGGGCCGGCTTTTATAGCGTGTCCCCGCTGGTAACCTGAGCTGGTGGCTCATTGGACGGAGGGGATTTCCTGGCCTTTAGACCAGGCTCCTGGCCCCAGGTGATTTGCATATTCTGTGCCTCTGAGCCGGGATCCGAGCGGTGCTGGGAAATGTGGCACGGCGGGTTTAATGATTATCCGACTCTGTCATCCCGCGCCCTCTGGGGCTGGGCACAGGGCGCTGGCCGGGGCGGGTGGCGGGAACAGCGCTGCGGTGGGCGTCTCGTCTGGGCTTTCGGCTGCCCTCTGGCCCAGGACATTCCTCCCGGGGGCCAGGCTAGGGATGGGCTAGGCAGGGAAGGGCAAGTGGGGGAACCTGAACTCCTGGCTGAACCGGGTCAGAAAGGCTGCTGGCCCCCAAATGTCCAGACGACTGGGGACAGAGGGGACTCACAGAGAGAGACAATACTGAGGTTTAGAAACTTTTCCCGCAACACCCAGGATTCTGGGCACAGGCTGGGAGGATCTCCAGGCTTGGTGCTGGACAGTGATCCTGGGCTAGTGGGCAGGGCCGGGTCTGCCAACCTAGCCCGCCACCCAGGGTGCCCACCCAGGGCTCCCCACCCAGGGATCCCCACCCAGGGCTCCCCACCCAGGGATCCCCACCCAGGGCTCCCCACCCCAGGGTGTCCGCCCCACATGGCCGGTCACCGGGACCCCCTTCGTTGGCAAGGTCTCAGCACTCATGGCCTGCCTGGACTCCATCCAAGCATCGGGGCTGCTACAGCCACTTCTGTAGAGACTGGGCTGTGTGAATACTTGAGTTTTTCCCTTGGCACCTGAAGGGTCCTTCTGCCCAGGGGCTGCCAGAGGTGCGGGGGCCACCACGTGGTCAGGTTCGCTCCCCTCTGCCCTCCTGTCTCCAGGTCCTGTCTGCTGCCCTCTCGTGGTCAGAGCCCGACTACCTGCGCCACGTCTCTCAAAGTAGAAAGGGGAACCATAGCCTGTGTTTACTATTTACCGAGCACTTTTAAACCTATTCTGTCATTTAATACTTATTCGCGCACACACACACAAAATCCAGCAGGGTGACGCGCAGTTATCCCCGTTTTATAGACCGGAGAATTGCAGCTGGGAGGTTGAGGGCTTGACCAGACCGCACTGCGGGGCTGGGGTCTAAATACTGGTGTGTTCTAAGCTGAAGCTCCCACTCTTTCCCCCGACGGCACTGGATTCTCCTGGCCTCGGCGTCCTCCCGCCCAGCTCCGCAGCTAGAGCCCTCACCTCGCTGCCCGTCCCCGTGCCGGTGGCCCCGCCGGCCTGTGTCCCCTAGACCCTGTGCGCAACTGTGGGATCCTGAGCAGCACCCTTGGGTTCTGCACTTCAGCTCCCCCATCTGTAAAAAGGAAGCTTTTTTGGATTCAATAATCCAAAAAAAATCTCTTCCAGATCTCTTCCAGATCTAGTTTTTTGTGCACCTAAAATGTAGGAGCTCTGTGTCTCTCCTCCCTTCCCTTAACGCTAGTTACCTAGTTGACTCTGCGACGCAGGCGGTCAGGCCTCCCCAGCCAGAGGGTGGGTGAAACGGTTACTCAAACAAAAGGTGACTCCACCTCCAGAGATACTCTTTCTTGTCTTTAACTCCATAGCCCCAGGACCGAGAAAGTCCTCCCCAGAGAGCCTGCTTCTCCTGTTCCTCGCCTCAGAAACTGCTGGGTGCCCAGCAGGGAGGGCTACAGTCCAGGAACCACCCCCCACCTCCCGCCACAACCTCGAGGCCAACGGGGCACAGGAGAGTCTGGGGCTGGGGGTAGGATTTCCCACAGCCCCTAAGGGGGCCTCCCCCGGGGAGCCCGAGGCGGCACACCCTCTGCCCAGTCACTCGCCCTGGAATGCGGGAGAACCGGCTTCCAGCCCGGGGCGGCTCACGTGCTCCCAGCCCCGAGGAGCACCCGGGCCAGAGTTCCGGACCCGGAGAGGGGAGGATGTGTGGAGAGTCAGGGTATCAGCCCCTTTGGGGCTTCTTCCCGGGAGAAATGGAGCTGAGATAAGGAATTCCTGCAGCCTAGCACTTTCAGTGGGAAAGACTTGGATTTGAGGTCAGAGCCTTGGAGGGATGGGGACGGGGTGGGGCAGGGGTTCCAGGACGGAGGTCGAAGAAGCCACTGAGCAGGAGGCTGGGGCCCTTCCCAGCCCACTGACCTCCCCCCGGAGATTGCCCAGGATGGTGGCACAGCTTCACCTTGGGGACGGGAGGATGTCCTATAAAAGGACAGGCACATCCAATAGGACAGCTGTGTGCCAAAGTGGCAGTGAGGCGGGCCACACAGCTCAGCATAGCCACACTGTGACACTCTAGACCTCACAAAGCACGAGTCGGAGTGGCCTTTAGAGGAGGAGCTGCCAGCCTTTTGCTTCCAGTGGCCCTCCGCTGTCACTGGGCTCACGGATGCTCTAGGTTTTGCACAGAGCAAGCAAGATAGCTACGGCCTCGGAGCTGAGAAGCTGGGCACTAAGCTGGGGAGAGGGGGAGGCAGCTAGAGAGCCCCTGCCTGTAACAGATTGCCAGGAACAGTCCTGAGAGCCAGCGGAGCAGCCTGCTGTCAAAAGGCCAGTGCCTAGCGTGCTCTTACGACCTCGGGCTCCCACCCGTCTCCTGTGACCCATGGCACCTCCCTGTGGGGCGGCTGAGGAGCCATCAGCAGAGGTGCTCTGCAGCCTACTGTCTGGTCGCCACTCATCCTTTGCTCTTGCTGAGAGTGAGAATAAATCTTAAACTTAAGCCGCCCCCCTTTTTTGTTGTTGTTGACACAGATTCTCACTGCCACCCTGAATAGAGTGCCGTGGCACCATCATAGCTCACAGCAACCTCAAACTGGGCTCAAGTGATCCTTCTGCCTCAGCCTCTGAGTAGCAGCAGAGGGGAGAGGTCTGTACTGATGACCTAAAGCCAAGGGCTGGGCAGAGCCACAGACAGAGACTGGTTCAGGGGTGCCCTGTACGAAAAGAAACTTAAATGTAGTTAAGTATTTCTTTTTTTTTTTTTTTTGAGACAGAGTCTCGCTTTGTTGCCCGGGCTAGAGTGAGTGCCGTGGCGTCAGCCTAGCTCACAGCAACCTCAAACTCCTGGCCTCAAGCGATCCTCCTGCCTCAGCCTCCGGAGTAGCTGGGACTACAGGCATGCGCCACCATGCCCGGCTAATTTTTTCTATATCTATTAGTTGGCCAATTAATTTCTTTCTATTTATAGTAGAGACGGGGTCTCGCTCTTGCTCAGGCTGGTTTCGAACTCCTGACCTCCAGCAACCCACCCGCCTCGGCCTCCCAGAGTGCTAGGATTACGGGCGTGAGCCACCGCACCCAGCCATGTAGTTAAGTATTTCTAGCAATCCTCTCCCCACCCCGCTCCCAAACCCAAGCTGCTAACTACTTAGCTCCCCACCTCGAGGCCAGGAAATCAGAATCTGGTGCCAAGTTCTGAAGGCTCTTGATCGTCACACCCCTAAAACAGTCATCCAGGAGCGAAGGCAGGTGAGGCCCAGCGAGGCCCCTGGGATGGGGCGAGGGGGTAGGGAAAGAATGCCAAAATACACATTTAACCATTTATTTCAGTGATGGAAGAGATGAATAGGAACAACGCTGCTGCCTTCACAGGTAGCTGGAATGCTGCTCTTTTGCTCGTTTTCCTGCAGCAGCCGTCTGCTTTCTCATTGCATGTGAGCAGCAAACACACTCCTCCTGCGCCCGGCCAGCCCCTGAGCGCAGGGAACACTGCCATTCTCTGAGTCTCCCCCGGTGATTGTCTCTGAACACACACACACAGAGGGGACCCCGGGTAGATGAAATTTAATAGACGACTCCATCTTATCTATTTTTTCTTTTTTTGCTTAAAAACATTTATTAAAATAAGGATTAAACCTGAAAAAAGAAAAACCAGAATGGCAGCCCTTTGCATAGTACAAGGAAGAAAGAACAGAAGGGGAGAAGGGAGGCAGGCAAGGCCCCTTCCCCTCTCCCCAGACCCACTCGGGAGGAGGGGAAGCCTGGCCGGCCGGCCCTCCAATGCCAGCAGCCGGCAGGGAGGAGAGCTGGGGGCAGGTCCTCGGGACTGGGCGGGCAGGAGGAGTCCCCGCCAGAGCAGAGGCCCGGGAGTCACGGGTGCCAAGCCCAGAGAACAGATACAAACTTTAGGAGGTCGCCTGAAAAACTGGGATTTGGGAACAAATGGGTATTCTGAAGGCCCGCGAGGTCCGACGAGGCAGAGCCCCTAGCCGCCCTTGGGCTCCACGATCTGCCGCACGTAGTGGACCACGTTGCTGTGGAGCTGTGCGGCGGTGGCTGCGAAGGTCTCCCTGGCGAGGGTCTGGGCCGCCTCGCTGCCGCCCATCATGGCGTGGTACAGCGGCAGGGTGTACTTCTGCTTGCCCTGCGAGAAACACACACGCTCACACACGCGTGCCCCGGCAGCTCTGGGGGGGGGTGTCCAGCCCTTCTGACCCCAGCAGCGGTCACAGGCGCTAACGGGGACGTGGGGACCCGTGCTGGCACGAGGGGTGCTCTGATTCCGACATCCCCCATGGGGGTCACAGACCCACGATGACGGGTCTCAGTGTGCACCCCAGTCCACGCTAACACAGGGACGGCCACACCCAGCAGAACACAGGAGACGGGGCGACACTATGGGACGCCCTGACCTAACCCAAACCCTAACCCCTAGCCCCTAGCCCTAACCCTGTGGGGGGCTAGCCACCCAGCTAGCAGCGGGTTTCGGGGCTGCGGCACACAATCTCGGGCCACGTGCGGCCCGGCTGCAGTTTAGTAGGAGAAAGCCCACAGGTCACATTCCCACGGGTGGAAGCCGGAAGCGGCAGGCTCAGAACGTCCCCACGCAGGCACGCGGCTGCCACGTCACACGGGTGAGGGACTCCGAGCGCGGCTGTGTGTCCAGGCCAGCCCCTGCCGCTCTGCAATCTGATGGCCCCGAGCGCCCCGGGCCCTCCCCACCAGGGCGACTGTCGCAGGGCCATGTAGGACCCGGCCGGTGTCTCAACTCCCGAGTCACAAGGCTTCTTCCCCCGCAGCAGGGACCTGTCATCTTGCCTCCGCCGGCCGTCTCGCCCGCCCTTTGGCCCCGTCCCCCCTGTGTTTTCCCCATGACCCGGCCCCGCCTCACACGTTACCTTCTTTCCCAGTTTCGGGTCAGCCCAGACCAGCTTTTGCCCCTCGGGGCCCACCAGCTGAGCAGCAGAAACCTTCCCGAGCCCGTGGGCTTCCCCTGTCCCTGGGGCAGAGCCTCCGCTGGCCACCGCACCAACAACCCGGCCTCCGGGAGGTCACCTGACCCTCCCCGAGCGGCTCCGAGGCAGCTCTGCCCACAGGGCTCCTGCAAGGTGGCCGAGTGGCCCAAGCGGCGACGGGACAGGGGCAGGGGGCGGGTCACCCACCTGGCTCTGCAGGAACTCCTTCACTTTCCAGAAGTCCTCCTGGTGGTCGTTCTTGAGCACGATCTGCCCCCACCTGAGCCGCAGCTCTGCGTTCTGGGCGTTTGAGATCTTTGGGTACGTCTCTCCCAGTCTCTTCACGTTCCCTGGAAAGAGAAAGAAACGGCTCGTGAGTGACCATCAGAGGCCCCGTTCTCGGGGACACTGTGCGTCTGCCAACAGCACTGGGGACAGACGTCCAGGAGGCTCCTGCCACCCGCTTCACCACCTGCTCCGCTCGTCTTATCCTCTGCGACGGCGAGTTTCTAGTCCCGCATTGACTTAGTCCCTAAGGCTCTTCCACCCACTGCCCCTTAATACTATCATCCTATGTTCCTCCCCCAGATCAAAACGCAGGTACCCCCCTAAAACACCCCGCCCCGCTTCTTCTCCTGCCAACCTGCTAGGAGTCATCGCAGCCTTAGCGTTTATGCACCCCTTGGTGAACACTATTTCCGACTGTGCAGCAACAAAGCTTTGGTGGGTAAGAGCTGTGGGTGGCTGGGCTCAAACCCCAGCCCACCCACTTGTTGGCCGTGAGACCCGTTTGTGCCTCAAGCTCGTTGTCTGTTGCCTAGGACTATGGCCACGGTACCCACCCCGCGGGGCGGCAGTGAGGACTCAAAGACTCAGCAGACACAAAGAGCTTATGAGAGCTGCCTGCAGGGCCTGATGACTAGATTGGTGGCAGGCCTCATTACTATTTTGTTCCGCACGGCACGTGCCGGTGTAGCAGGTGTGACCCACACCCGTTTGATGGCAGGTTCCTTGCAAAGCGCCAGACTCCCTGTTCCGCCAACAGCCACCGAGGGGCACGCATCACAACGCTTTCAGAGTTCTCCCCCTCTGCCCCTGGGACAGAGCTGTGCACACGGGGACCCTCGCCTCAGCACTCGGAAGGAACCACCCGCTTTTTCTTACCGGGAGGGAGAGGGGATTTCTGGAGGATCCTGTCCAGGAAGTAGACCAGCTGGTAGGTCCTCCAGGGCGAGATGGCCACAGCCTCGATGGCCTTCATGTCCAGCTCCTCGGCCGCCCAGAGCTGGGCCAAGTCTTCGGCAGGCTTCATGAGCGAGTCCCCGGGGGAGAGATCGGGGAGGTGCGGGGGCCAGCCAGGCGTGTTCAGCCACCGATCAAACTCAAACCCTGTTTGGTAGAAGGAGATACTGTCCGAGCCCTCTGGCCGGGTCATGGTCAACGTGCCCATGCGGCTCCCAGGGACCTGGAGCGCCTGCCTCCCTCACCTCGAACTCTTTCTCCAGCATTCCACACACCCTTCCCACACGACTACCGGCTCCAGCCGGGGTCCGTTTATAATGACATCTGTCTAGGGGCTCTCACGGTAAGACTGGACCGTGCCTGCTTCCACCATGAAAGTGGGTTTTTTTCCACCAAATTAACACTGTGTTGTTGGAGCCAAGTGGACGGTGCCGTATTCCAGAACGTGCTCTCCCGATCGCCCCAGCAGCGCCGCGCTCAGGCGCTGGGGCTCTTGGACCAGGCTGCCTGGGCTCCTGCCGCCACGGCCACCGAGCTGGGAGGCCACAGGCCTGCCGCTGCACCGCCGTTTTATCCGTAAAGCGTTGGGGGGCGGGGGAGCGACAGGCCCCGCCTTAGCGGGCGGCCGTGAGGACTAAATGCGCAAATACACGTGCCAAGCCTGGTGTGCAGTAAGCACTCGGTGAGGGTTAACTGTCGCCGGCTACGGCGTGCCGGGACCTTGCAACGCAGGCCCCCCGCCGCAGCGCGGGCACGGCGAAGGCCTGCCCATGCCCGCCGTCGCAGGACGCCAGCCCCACCAAGCCAACGGCGGCGGCGGCTCAGGCTCACGGCGCCCAGGGAGGGTGCGTCTGCTGGACTGCCCCTTCCGTCACAGGACATGCCCGCTCTCTCCCAGGCGGCCACTGGGATCGCCTTCACTCACAAGGCCACGCAGGCCGACCCACGGCCCTAAGGCCACAGCTCTCTGGGCGGAGGGAAGGGTCTGGCTACGTCCAGGGGCGGGGAAAACAGGGCAGAGTGAGAGAACGAGGCAGAGAAGCAGCGGGAGAAGTCATTTCTGCGGCACAGAGCCCGGGACGCTGGGTTTGCTCCCCAAAGCGCCACTCACGGGAGGACAGTGGCCCCGTGTTCCCCTGCCGGGCTGGGTCTTTGCTAAGGTGAATCACACGCACGGGGTACTCCCTGCCGTCCCCGGGAAGCCTGCGGGCCGGCTCCTGTGCTCACCTGGAATGGAATCCACTCTCTTTTTCTTCAGCTCGGGGAAATATTCCAGGTAGAACTCGAGAAAGTCTTCGGCCATGATGCTCTTGAACTTAAACTCGTCCACATAGGCCTGCAGGGAGGGCGGTGCTGTGTGGGCACCCGGGGCCCCTTCCAGCCCCTGGCCGCCCCCGTCTCCACCCCCGCTCCCTGGCCCGGCCGCTCCCCCTGCCCCTCTTCCTTCTCCCCTCCCGGGAGAGGCGACCGCACCTTGAGAAATTTGTCAAACCGATCCTGGTCGCCCACCAAGTGGGCCAGGTACGAGACAAAGCAGAAACCTTTCTCGTAGGGGGTCTCGTTGTACGTGTCGTCCGGGTCGACACCTGGCGGGGGGAGACAGCAGACAGGGTTGGAGCCCTTGCAACTCATCGCCCTTGGTTGCTCCTCTCTAGCCCCAGCTCCACAGACTGACCGTGGAAGGGACCAGAACTCGGCTTCCCCGGGGACAGCGAGGCCAAGGGGGTTTGCAGGCCCATCCTGGCCCCGCCCCGGGACACTCCGGAGGGGATCTTAGAGGGCCGCTCACCAGGGCCCCAGTAAGAGGACAGAGGGAGCAGCTCCAGGAACCGACGGGTTTCCCTGCTCCTGGGGCGTGCCTTGCCTGCCTACCGTGTTTCCCCGAAAATAAGACCTACCCACGGACTAAGCCCCAGCAGGATTTCTAAGCATTTGCCCAACAGAAGCCCTACCCCGAAAATAAGACCTAGTGACGGGCGTGGCTGCGCAGCGCGTCTGCACAACCCGTGCATGTCGTCGCGGAGCGGCAAAGAGACGAGCAGCCCTTCTCATCTGCCCCGTGAGAGCTCTATGGCTCCACATGAGAGACTGGGGCCAGTAGCTCTAAAGGAAATAGAGTCGCAAGACATTCAGGATGGAATTCGGGGTTTGGAGAGTGATGATGATGTTCCAGAAGAAGACGACTTCGCTGTATTTGAATAAATGCAGACTGTTGTACCGTACTTAAAAAAAAATAACACATCCCCTAAAAATAAACCCTGGGGTGTCTTCTTGAGGAAAAATAAATATAAGACCCTGTCTTATTTTCGGGGAAACACGGTAGGTGCCGTCAACTCTCAGGACTGGGCGCCAGGCTTGGGGGGCTTTTCCAGCTCTACTGGTTCCCACCTGTGTGCTCAACCTCCCCTCCCAGAGCGATGTGCCATTCACAAGCGTGCAAGGCTAAAACTAATTGCCAGTCTATAAGAAGTTCATGTTCAGGCCGGGCACGGTGGCTCACGTTTGCAATCCTAGCACTCTGGGAAGCCGAGGCGGGCGGATTGCTCAAGGTCAGGAGTTCAAAACCAGCCTGAGCAAGAGCAAGACTAAATAGACTGTCTCTACTAAATAGAAAGAAATTAATTGGCCAACTAATATATATATAGAAAAAATTAGCCTGGCATGGTGGCGCATGCCTGTAGTCCCAGCTACTCGGGAGGCTGAGGCAGCAGGATCGCTTGAGCCCAGGAGTTTGAGGTTGCTGTGAGCTAGGCTGACGCCATGGCACTCACTCTAGCCTGGGCAACACAGTGAGACTCTGTCTCAAAAAAAGAAAAAAAAAGAAGGTTTTAGATTAGGCACCCGTGGAAGTAAAGAAGAATGTTAGCAGATAAAAAGCTCTGGACCCGGAGTGAGGACTGGGGTCTGAGTTCTGGCAATGCCCCCACTGTGGACATGACCTTGGACAAGTGACTTAACCTGTCTAGCACTCAGTCCTGTCTTCTATAAAACAAAGCTAGTAATACCTTATAGAACCCACAGGTCCGACTTGATGAAAAGGAACGGGAAGGAGCCCTGTGAAGTGAGCCCTGCAGAATGCGCAGGACTGGACAGGACTCCACCTGGCTCCAGTGGCTCGGGCTTAGCCAGCCTAGAGGCCAGAGCACTGGCCACAGAGAGCCCCGGAAGGCCTCTCCCCCCCAAGGACGGCATTGCATTGTAAGCGTGCACCAGTCAACACGAAGCTCGAACTAACGTGGGGCTCCGGGCTCAGTTTTGGGGAGGGGGTTTCAGACAGAGCCTCCTGGACCTGGTTCGATCTTCACTCGGAGCTTGTTGAGTGGGTTTTCCTCGCCGCTGATGTCCATGTGCTGGCGCAGGAGAGCGCGCCCGGTTGCCGCCTCCAGGCAGGTGTAAGCAGCCCCTGCGGCAAAACCAAACAGAAGCCCCCGGGGAAAGGCTGTTACCGCTGCGTCCAAGCGCGACACACACGCTGTGCCGCCCCCTTGTGGTCGTGAGAAGAACAGCGACCGACACCTGAAGCTTAATTAATACCCTGTGACCCTCCAGGGGACCTGAGGGCAAACCCGGTCACCCACCCAGAACCTGACTCCGCCCCCGGCCGCCCGCTGCTCAGGGCTACAAGGACTGGGCGAGTCACATCTTATTCTCTGACAGTCACCTTTTTCTATGCACACAGTTTTGTTTTTAGATAATAATTTGATCTTCTATGAAAACCTACGATATTTTTACCTGATTGCTCCTGCTGGACAAGAGAAACTATCACCCCTCCCCCGCCCCCAACATTTTTTAAAGGTCTTTAAATCTCCTTCTGCCTTTAAAAATAATGGCTGAGTGAGCAGCGGAGGGGAAGAGGACTAGGTTTTTGAGACAGCCAGCTCTGCCACATACCAGATGTTCTGACTCTGAGCATGTGACTTAGTCTCCCTTCTTAGCCTCAGTTTCTGCCTCTGCACAATGGGGCAATAGTATCTGCTTGCAGGACCCCAGTGGCTGATTAAGACAGTTGCAAACATGCTCATGCTCTATATACTCTGTGGGTTTTTCTTGTTTGTTTGTTTATTTATTTATTTGAGACAGGGTTGCCTGGGCTAGGCTAGAGAGCAGTGGTATCATTATAGCTCACTGTGGCCTCCAATTGCTGGGTTCAAGAGAGCCTCCTGACTCAGGCTCCTGAGTCGCCGGGACAACAGACGTGTGCCATCACACCCAGGTAATTCTCCTATTTTTAGTAGAGACAGGGTCTCACTCTTGCTCAGGCTGGTCTTGAACTCCTGACCTCAAGCGATCCTCCCGCCTTGGCCTCCCAAGGTGCTAGGATTACAGGCGTGAGCTACTGTGCCCCACTATGTACTCTGAATGAAACCATAAACTTTCCGGGAGGTAATGGACAGCTTATGCTAAAAAGACTTTAAAATGTTCAGACCCAGAAATTATGTTTCTAAGAATGCATCCTTATGGAGATCAGCTCGAGATAGGCACTGTTTGTCAAAATATGTGAATGGAAAACTGGTAACGACCTTTCTAACAACTGGAGATTGACTAAAACACCCACGCTATGCAGCTACAGAAGAAAACTTAATGAATTCGTGTTTAACTTTAAGTTAAAAAAAACAAAGAGCCAGCTGTAAAGCCACATATGCTTTGATAACTCACACACACATAGAAATGTTTGAAAGGCTACGGCGCCACCTCCTCCTTTCGCGCCCACCCGTACCCCACAGCCCCGAAAGGAGACTGCGCTGGCCTCGCAGGCCCAGGAAGGGGCGGCAGGACCCCAGGGAGGGCGGCGGGCACGTACCGAAGAGGATGGTGGAGATCCTCCTCTGGGCGTACATGGTGAAGCCTTCGTTGAGCCAGAACTCACCCCAGTTGGCGTTGGTGACCAGGTTCCCAAACCAACTGTGGGAGATCTCATGGATGATGACATCGGCCAGGGAGCGGTCCCCTGCTAGCAGGCAGGGGGTGACAAAGGTCAGACAAGGGTTCTCCATTCCTCCAAACGGAAAGGATGGCGGCATGAAGAGCAAGTCGTACCTGCCGAGAGGACAGGAGGGTCACAGAGAGGCCCCGGC